TCTTTCCCTGTCTGAGAGATTATTCTAAGGAAGGAAATTTGATGTTGGTTCAGAATGCAGGCCATGACATGGGCCTAACATCTCTGACTAACTCTAACAGCTACTATAGATAAATACACGGGACCTCTAAAAGGATTATGCAGTCAGGCAGTTGTTTGGCATACTTTTCAGAGAGGTGATGTAATTACCTGGAATAAATGAAACATGGGACTGGAAGAACTTCACTGTTCACAGAGCCCAGCCCCTGCAATCGCGGTAACCACATTTTATAATCCCATTGGTACAATGAGAGTTAGGCACCTAAGCACCTATAAAACATTTCCCTGTAAGAGATGTACTTGCAAAGCAGAGTTTGCCCAGATTGTACAAATTTAACCTACCAGTATTGTCCACTGTGACAACCTCCTCCAGAACTTTTTGTCTCCTATGATCTTTTAATGCTTCCACTATGATGTTGTAGGTAGCACCTCTAGTAAGGCCGGTCAGAGTAGCACTAGAGGCAGTTCCAGGAACTCTGAACTGCAATTACAGTAAAACCAGTGTCACACAAAAGTTGGCTTTAAAAAGAATGTGCTTCTTAGGTTGTAAACTGTTCAGGATAAAGACAGTGTCTTCATATTTAATTCTACAGGGAGTCACACACTGGAGGCCTAATTCTTAGAGCCTAAAGTATCAGTACCTGAAGTCTCACTCCTTGCATCTTGGTGATAGATGTATTATCTCAATTTTAGGGGTAGGGAGAAAAAGTGACATGCCCCAGATCACACAGGAAGTCTTTACAAGAGTGGGTACAGAACTCAAATGCCCTAAATTTTATTTTTTTCCCCCACACGTAGCTGTAAGATCATCAGCAATATTAATCTGGCTACATGGCTGCACTCTTCACTTACGTATGATTTATCTTAAGAACTTCAGTGGAGGGAAATCCCCATGCATTTTTTTCACTGCACCTCTTCAAAATACTATAGACAGTCCTAGGGTCTTTCTGTTTTAGTCAGTGTATCCTATATTCTTTCATGTGTGTAGCCAGCCTCCATGTACTTCCATCCCAGAACAGCTTCAGGGCTAATAATGCTATGCTACAAGGTGGCATGCAGAAGGTGCCTAAGATGGATGCTGATGGACTTTCATAAGTAAATCATGACTTATTGGCCATGTCTACATGAGATGCTGACTGCACAGTTGTTACTGCGCAGTCATTTAGTACTTATATACACAAATACTAAATGACTGTACAATAAATCGGAGCTACTACACAGCAGCATCCCCAAACAGCTTTTAGGTGACACTGACTGTGCAGTATCTCGTTACTACTATGCAGTAGCATCATGTCACACTTTGTGCCATGCGACACTACTGCGCAGTAGTAATGAGCTACTGTGCAGTCAGCATTTCATGTAGGTGTGGCCACTGAGAGCTATAATCCCAAAGCTAGAGGGACTGCCACCGTCAAGTCCAATATACTTCCTGCATTCAGAGGGACAGTTGTGTTACCTGCAAAGTCTCTTCATCATTGCCGACTGGGAGACATGAGATGAGATATTCAGTGCTCTCCAATAAGGGCCTCCAGGAGATCATTGTCCGAGAAAGAGCTTCCTGGCCTGTAGTGTCATTGCGCCTTGGCCCACGGGAGTGAGGATATGAAGGTTCAACTACATGTGGTATTGGGTACCTAGCGAGTTCAACTGTTTCATCCACATTTGGTGGTTGCGGTCTTGGCCTGTGTCTACTGGGGGTTGCTGTGGTGGGTGGAGTAGTCCGTCTAAATCCATGTTCCTCAAAGAAAACTTGCTGTCCCTGGTGTCCTATTGATGGCTGCTGACCTGTGGTGCCTGGAAGTTGGATACCATTTCCATTGTCATACCTGTTGTTTGTGAAGTAAGGGGGCCTCTCATCGATGGAAGGAACATCCAGAATCTCTGGCTGATTGGGGTGAGTTTGGGTTACCAGCGTGGGAAGCTCATCTAACCAAAAACATGTTAGAAGCAATAGAGCAAAGCAGGTTATGCCCCAGAAAAGTGGCTGAATTAATTATCATACACTAGGTAGCGACAATGAAAACTGTCAACTACTCAAAGGAATTAAAGGTTAGCAACACTCATGAGTACAACACACTTTTTAGGGCCTCTTTGTAGGGCCTCTGATTGTTCAGCAGACGGTATATTGTCTTGTTATTATCAGCAGAGGGTATATTGTCTTATTATTATAATTTGTTACTGTACAGGCAAAAAAAAGTGTGTTGGTATGAAATTTTCATACCCTTGAACCAAAGCTATGATCACTGCATGCCAAAGAAGCCACCTATGCTCAAATTAAGGAAACAAGATATGTTTGCAATAGGCATTCATATATTATCAATTTAAGAAGATCTGTACCATACGCTAAGGAATTAACTCTTATGCTATTCAGGTCTCCAGCTGTGTGGCAGAGATGCTACTTGGTGACCTCTCCTTGTACTCTATTTTACAATGCAGTATGGGACTGGGCACAAGTAGAGAAATACAATGCATATCAAAGGAATAACCTTGACCTATATAGCATTCCCACTAATGTCATCACAAGCTAAAAGAAAATGTGAGCATTAACCGTAATTAAATTAAGGTATAGGCACACAGGGAAAAAAAAAAAACTGAATGTGATCTCATGTGCTTAACCTTTTAACACAGAGAAATGTGATTTGCTTGACTTGAAATCTTATCTTTTCCACCCTAGAAGCCCTATGTATGATACATTTATTCATCTCTTTGAGAAATAAAATTAAAATGAAGTAATAATACTATTTTTTCTAAAAGTGACCTATCATCTCAAGCAGAACTTGTAATTGGCTGTCCACATATACCTGTGAAAAAGAACCTTATAAACAAAGTTGTAATATTAGCCCTTTGGAGGTGCCACCAGAGGGCAGACTCCAGTCCCCATGTGAGGAGATGTCCCCTTCTCCAGCTGTGGTTGACCAGCTTTTTATTTTACCTGTCTTTTTCCTGCCAACCAATGGTTCACTCTTTTGATTGTTCTTCATAGCAATGATATAGATGGTATATTCTGTTCCTGGCTCCAGACCTGGAAGAAAAAGAGCCAACTTTTAGTGATAAACACCTCTAAATAAGACAGCTCAACAAAGGGAGACAAGGACAAGGTAGGAAAAAGTGACACCTTAGAAACTAACTGGTTCAGAGAGGCATGAACTTTCAGAGGCAACAACCTATTTCATCAGATGAAACAGTATTGACTGTTCCGAAAAAAAAAAAAAAAAAAAATATATATAGGGGAAAGATACAAGGGGAGGGTACATTGCTAGAGAGGTAATCAGGGGAACTGATTATAATGATTGTGAGAAACAGGGCAGTTTAACATAGAGAGGAACACCAGAGTAAAGCACTAGTCCAGGCAATGGGATAAGACTTGTTAGTCCCTGTTGAGATGACCACAGTCTGATCACTGGTTCTTCCTGGCTCAAGGAAGCGTTTGTTGTGGGGTGGGGAAAAGGGGTTATCTGAATTAGTTGTACCTGGCAATAAGGACTGCATAATCTATGTCTCTTTTGATGTGTTGGCTAGCACAGTGCATGCAGTCCCTACCCAGCTATACAGGAGAGGGAATATAAAATCTGCTGAGTTTAATCTATGCATTTCTATTGTATCTCCAACTCTTATGCTATTCAGGTCTCCAGCTGTGTGGCAGAGATGCTACTTGGTGACCTCTCCTTGTACTCTATTTTACAATGCAGTATGGGACTGGGCACAAGTAGAGAAATACAATGCATATCAAAGGAATAACCTTGACCTATATAGCATTCCCACTAATGTCATCACAAGCTAAAAGAAAATGTGAGCATTAACCGTAATTAAATTAAGGTATAGGCACACAGGGAAAAAAAAAAAACTGAATGTGATCTCATGTGCTTAACCTTTTAACACAGAGAAATGTGATTTGCTTGACTTGAAATCTTATCTTTTCCACCCTAGAAGCCCTATGTATGATACATTTATTCATCTCTTTGAGAAATAAAATTAAAATGAAGTAATAATACTATTTTTTCTAAAAGTGACCTATCATCTCAAGCAGAACTTGTAATTGGCTGTCCACATATACCTGTGAAAAAGAACCTTATAAACAAAGTTGTAATATTAGCCCTTTGGAGGTGCCACCAGAGGGCAGACTCCAGTCCCCATGTGAGGAGATGTCCCCTTCTCCAGCTGTGGTTGACCAGCTTTTTATTTTACCTGTCTTTTTCCTGCCAACCAATGGTTCACTCTTTTGATTGTTCTTCATAGCAATGATATAGATGGTATATTCTGTTCCTGGCTCCAGACCTGGAAGAAAAAGAGCCAACTTTTAGTGATAAACACCTCTAAATAAGACAGCTCAACAAAGGGAGACAAGGACAAGGTAGGAAAAAGTGACACCTTAGAAACTAACTGGTTCAGAGAGGCATGAACTTTCAGAGGCAACAACCTATTTCATCAGATGAAACAGTATTGACTGTTCCGAAAAAAAAAAAAAAAAAAATATATATAGGGGAAAGATACAAGGGGAGGGTACATTGCTAGAGAGGTAATCAGGGGAACTGATTATAATGATTGTGAGAAACAGGGCAGTTTAACATAGAGAGGAACACCAGAGTAAAGCACTAGTCCAGGCAATGGGATAAGACTTGTTAGTCCCTGTTGAGATGACCACAGTCTGATCACTGGTTCTTCCTGGCTCAAGGAAGCGTTTGTTGTGGGGTGGGGAAAAGGGGTTATCTGAATTAGTTGTACCTGGCAATAAGGACTGCATAATCTATGTCTCTTTTGATGTGTTGGCTAGCACAGTGCATGCAGTCCCTACCCAGCTATACAGGAGAGGGAATATAAAATCTGCTGAGTTTAATCTATGCATTTCTGTTGTATCTCCATTGTCTGCTCTCCTGAGTCTGTGTATAGGGTTAAACTAGATGACCCTTGAGATCTCTTCCAACCCTATGAGTCTGCTCCCCCATCCTAAAAACTATGATCTCATGATGCAAGTAGTATATACGATTGTACTATATAATTGTGTGAGGATAGCCATGTTCTAGCCCTTGAGCAGAATCCTCTGTTCAATGCAGAGGACATTAGCCATCTAGATGAGCTCCCAAATGAAGCAAAGACATACCAATTATAGTGGCCTCTGTGGTACCCGGGCGTGGTCGGGGAAGCAACTCTTTAGGCTGTGCTCCAGGTTTATTGTACTTGATGATATAGCCCGTAATCTTGGCCCTGGGAGGCTGCCAGGTAACCAGCAGGGAGTTGCTTGTGGTTGTGAGGAATCGCAGGTTTGAAGGAGCATCAACATCTATAAGCAATCAAAATCAATGTAATGAATGTTGGAAAAAGTATGTGTGACTGCACATCTCCTTCCCATGGGGGATGCATTTATCCTTTACCACTAATCCATTCCATGTTCAAAGAGGAAAAAATAAGGTTGTAAAATGCAATAAATGATGTATATGCTCAAATGCAAGGACAGTATAAATTTCCAGTCATGTGTAAAAATAATTTCCATTAGTATATATGCATGCAAGAGAGAAAGAAAATGCCCTTACTTGTAGAAGCATCAATCACAACTGGGGAACTGCGGGCATTGTCATTCAGTGCATAAAGATGGATCTTGTAGTCAGTGCCTGGTTGCAAGCCTAAAATTAGAGTAGAAAAAAAATACAAATTTTAGCCTGCTCTGATTTAAACTTTTTCAGAAAGAGTCTGCAAGATACTCCGATCATTGCTACAGCCAGAGAATTCAACTGTCTGGAAAAATAGCACTTTCAAAGTTGATACTAGCTGTGTTTGCTGGAGAATTAAAAAGAGCACTGAGATATTTCTAAAACAACCAGTTGACTTGAATGTGCTCCCATTGAAGGCAGTAGAGGCTCTCTCACTGAACTCAGTTAAATTGACACTAAGTTATTTTTAAATGCCACTTAAATCCTAAGTTAAAGCTGCCTTCAACCAAGAGATAAACATAATGATTTGATCTTTAACCTTTTTCACTGATTGTCCCCAACTTCAGACATAAGCCACAGAACTATGATCCTCTAGCGCATAAGAAAATGATTAAATCTGTCCCATTCACTAGCAATTATCAGATTAGAAGTGAAGTAATTTAAAATGAAGCAATACATCAGCTAAAGCTGCAGGAAACCTGAATGCTAAGATGAAGCAGGGAATAGAACCAAATGGGTAGTTAAACAACAGTTCATAGAGGTTAACTCAGCTTTTGGAAGGTATTAAATGGATCTAGAAATCTTTCTCCTGCAAAGATCAGGCAGTTCGATTTCTGGACTTGCTAAGAGATCTATGATCATGGTGTGAACCAATGTTAGTCACTTGCAGGATGTGATAAGAGAGTACTGCCAGTTAGGCCTGTGCGAATAAAGAACTATTCGATTCGGATTCAGATTCAGCCGATCCAGAGGCCAGCGATTTGATTCAGAGATTCAGATCGCTTTTCCAAATCAATTCAGCTGAAATGCCTCCGGAAGATTCGGCGCTGATTCAGAGAGATTTGGCCATAGAGTATAATGGGGAATCAATGAAATATCTATAACTTTGTCATTTTTTGGCTGATTTGGATGAAAATTGCAGGGATGGTAGCCCCTGCTATGGGCATGAAGTCTGCCATGTTTCAAGGAGGTAGGTTCAGGGATTTCCAGGAAACTGCACCTCAAATTCTAGAAAGCAAAACTCATGTCGTGTGTGTGTGTGTGTGTGTGTGTGTGTGTGTGTGTGTGTGTGTGTGTGTAAGGCACAGCAAGGTGAAAACTGCAGGCATGGTAGCCCCTGCTGAGGCCACAAAGCCTGCCAGGTTTCAAGGAGATAGGTGCAGGGGCTTCTGGGAAACTGTACCTCAAGCTGCTGACAAGCAAAGCTCAAGACATGGGTGACACTGTGTGTGTATTAAGGTACAGGGGCATGAAAACTGCAGGCCTGCTAGGCCCTGCTGTGGCCATGAAGCCAGCTGTCAAGGAAATAGATACAGGGGGAGTCTGGAGTCTGGGTTCTGGGGCCCTGCACTTCTGGCTGCTGATAGGCAAAACTTGTGACATGGGTGCTTGTGAGAGTGACTGTGTCTGTCTTGGGGCACAGGGGCGTGAAGACTGCAGGCCTGCTAGGCCCTGCTGTGGCCACGAAGCCTGCCAGCTGTCAAGGAGATATGTGCAGGGGGTGTCTGGGACAGAAAAAGCTTACAGACAGAGGCTTTTATGCTGTTTCTATGCCCCCCCCAGACACTGTGATTGGAAGGGCAGTCAGGGAGAAATCATACTCACTGGCCAGCTAGAGATGTCAGTCCTTCCTCCCCCCACCCCGCTCCCTCTCCTGCTCCCCCTCTCTCTTCTAAGTTTGTTTCCTCTAAAAGACTGCCTTTCAAATCTCCAAATCTCTTCCAAATCTTTTCCGAATGGATTCGGAGGCTCCAAATTGTTTTGGAAAGTTTTAGGTTCCTAGCGATTTGATTCAGTTTTGGAGATTCAGCCTCCAAATTGGGCCAAATCTTCTCCAAATCAAATTGTGAACTGAAGCTTTGCACAGCCCTACTGCCAGTTTCAATAAGTGCACTTCCCTGTAACAGATCCAGAAAACACTCCTATTTTCAGACAAGAAGTAAGTGCCCAGAACAATTAAGTACGATATCTCTGCGAGTCCCACTGAATCAGGGCCTGGCTCTGCAAGTGTCATTCTATGAAACATCTTCATCTTCAGTGGGAGCTCTGCTCTCAGGGCATGTGGTAGGATTTAAATTTTAATAACAGTTCTCAAGTGCACCTGAATTCCATCTGAAGTCTTTTGCCATCTTTTCCTTACTACTCAGAAGCCTGTAATGTAGAGGAGACTGTCTGATGATGAAACTCACTTACCAGTAATGGTGTACATTCTAAGATCAGGCCTAATAGTCCTTCGAATGGGGTTCTGGCCACTTGCTGGGATGGCATCAACCTGGAAACCAGTGATGGTCTCTGTCTTGGTGCGCCAGTTGATTGAGATGGTTGTCTCAGTAACATCACCTACACGGGCCCTCCGGGGAGGGCTGACATCTGCAGAAACAGACCAAAATCTAATATCAGTATAACAGGCATAAGCAATGGTTTGGAGTAGTTGGTTTGAAAAGAAAATGATGAATTCCCCTCAGAGAAACTTATATCCACATTTTGAAATGGCCAGACCCTGACACCCTCACTCAATTGTTTCTATTAGGTCTTTGCTCAAGGCATAACCTGTTGACTTCTGTCAGATGATCCACGCTCCATACACAGAACATATTAGTATTTGTACGGCACTTACTCTCAAGGGTAGTGACGACACCCTGGGCTGGTCGACTGGTTAGAGAGTCCTTCAGAGCATACACGCTGACTTCATATTTGGTTGCCACCTAGAAAAAACAAAGCTATATTATGCTAAGAGAACTACATGGAACATGTAAGCTTCAGAAAGGGAACCAGAATTGGGACACTAGGAAATGTGCATGAATTTATAAGTAGTTAGGAGAGCCATATAAGATCTAAGCAGCAATTTAACAATTAAACATTTAAATTTAGCAATTTAAACATGAAACTTAAAAATTGAAAGATACAGGATGGCTAGGATGGCTAAAATTTATTCCCAGCTGAATGGAAAAAAAGAGCCTGAGTCTTTGCCTTAGTTAAAGCAATATAATGCAGTCAAAGTCCACGATGCTAATCTAGAGATTCAATCTGGAGGAGAATCAGGCCCTTTTTAAAAGCAACCAGCAGAGGAGGCATAACTAAGTACTTTGGCACCCGGAGCTGCAGGGAGGAAAGAGGGGAAAAAAGGGGCTCTGAGCACCTACCTCCTCACTGCCTGTCATAGCAGAGTGGGATGCCATAGTGGCAGTGCAGGCTCTCCAAATATGGGCTGCTGCTGTGGTGGTATGAAGTTGCCATTTTTGTGCCCTTTTTAATTAGTGCCCGGGACTGGCGCCCAACCCTACTTACGATATTGGCAAACAGGGCTGAGGTTGAAATTATTGTTAGCAACTGTTTGAAAGCCAAAATTGTATTTTAACGCATTCAAATTCCAAAAATGTCTTTAATTAAAACAATTACAAATAATTTTAAAAAATTAAAAAGTAAATAAATTCATAATCATGTTAAAAAATTATTTGAATTGCATTTCAAACAAAAGAAGTGGGAAAATGGGTAGTACAACAGTAACATATTCTGCTGCTAGAAACACAAGAACTTTCATGAATCAAGGCAACAATGTTAAGTATATTTTGGAGCAGGGCTGCCCAATTTCTAAGTGTCGGGCTGCACCAAGGCGAGCCACAGGCCCACCAGGCAGCAGTTGGATAATCCTGTTCTCGAGCATAATGATGGTAACCTAATGGCCAAACACATGCCTAAAGAGCACTTACAGCAGTGACAGATATGACTTATTAAAGCATAATCATGGAGGAAAAAGAAATAAAAAATGATGGTGGAAGTTTGTGCATCATTCTGAAGTACTGGGAAAAGGAAATGCTTCCTTGGATTTTTGGTGCTTACTACCCTTGAGAAGATAGGATTAGGTTAGTGATTTAGTAGTGCTGTTGGACATGATTTATTACCAAAAGACTGCTCTGTTTTGAGAAGAAAAATGATGGAAATAACAGTTCTAAGTTAAATCTGAACAGATTTTTTATTAGAGTTTTTGACTTCTTTGGAGCTAATCTAGTTTATGCCATCTGATTTGGCCGTTAGGTTAGAATTTTTTTTTTAATAATTTTTTTCAAATTATGCAGAAGAATGATTCATAGACTTCAAGACCAGAAGGGACCATCAGATTATCTACTCTAACTGCCTGCATAGCAAAGGCCCTAGAACTTCAATCAATTATTATTGTAGGGAGTCTAATAACTTGTGCTTGACTAAGAACACAACCTCCAAAAATGATATTTGGTCTTTATTTGAAGGAGCTTTAGCAGACAAATCTATTGTTCTTTTAACTACTGTGATCCAGGTGACAATGTCTGACAACTGGCTAGATTTCAAACGATGGGCTGGATACTCAGGACTCATGTGATCCATCCCAGCTGAAGTTCTGGCCCAGAATACTTTAAATTGCTTGACATGTCCAATGTTTCTTCCCACGTCATGCCCAGCAATATGAGAATCAAGGGAGTTACCATTAATCCTGACACAACAGCAGATGTGCTGTCTGGGGAGAGGTTGATTTCTTTCATCGGCCCAGTTTTTTCCTTGGGATTCACTCGGACTCTGTAGCCGGTGAGACGAACATTAGGTGCATTCCAGGTGACCATCAGGCTGGTTGGAGTCACCTGGACAAAGTTCAGGTTTGTTGGAGGAGGAATTGCTGTGAAAATTGGGAAAATTAGTTTAGAAGGACTTGGCTGCAGTCAAGACAGCACTATCAATCATAAGAATTAAATAGTTTCAGATACAAAATATAGAAATGAGAGTTGCAGATACTGATACATTTTGGGTAGCTATGGGATCTAATATAGAACCCAGGCTCAAAGTACATAGTGCCAAGCTGTTCAAGATAAGACTCAGATGCTGTGATAATATTTCTCTTTGGAAATGAGGAGATAGATATATTCTTGTAAAACGAAAAGGTATCCCAAATATCTGAGCAGTCCTGTAGCCTTTCAATCATTCCAGTACTTATAGTACATTATAACACTGTATATACTTCATAGCATCAAGCTGTGAATCATTATCCATGGTCTACCCTGCACTCTTGGAATTTGTCAACTTTTCATTTGCAAGTTAATGGAAACTCCTTATGAATAAGGATCTATGTAAACTGCGACAGAAGTACACTGTGCAGTGGCTCCTTTAATTTTGCTTTAGCTGCATGCCTCCCCTGTTCCTGACTGCCCAAGGGACTATGGTGGCCCTGCTGCTTGCTTCTGATTGGCCAGGAGGCAAAAACTGTAGTTTTAAATATGCACCGATTTTTACCACCCAGCTGATTAGCAGCAAGCAGCAGGGCCGCTGAGGCCCCTCAGCCAATCTGTGGTGGGAAGCAAAAACCACAGTATATTTAAAACCATGATTTTTGCCTCCTGGCCAATCAGGAGCGAGCAATGAGGCCACCACTCAGCAGCGGTAGGGGTGGGGGCATGTGGCAAAAAGAGTCATTTTAAAGGACCTGCTGTGCAGCACACTTCCGGCACGATTTAGGTAGATCTCTACTTAGAACAAAGGAATTAACATTGGAAACTGCTATGAATTTCAACTTGCTGGAAGAAGACAAATCTCATGTGGTAGTTTCATTGTCTAGTCCTTGTTCAAAAAGCCATTTAAAAAAGTATCTAAGCAGTTGTGTGGACTATGAAATGAATTATTTAACAGGAAGATTTCTAAATCACAAATCAATACAGGAAGGGACTGCAATTTCTGTCCATTTCTCTCATTTCAAAGGAAAGGATATTTGTTAATTGAGGAGGTTTTAAATCAATAGAACTAGTAGGAACTGGCTCCATACCTAAACATGTCTGCAGGAGTATGGCACACTCCCTTGAAGGAGGATATCAAATCAAACTGCTTGTTGTCAAAGAAGCGTGGCAGTAGCTGTTAGACAGCAAACAAGATAACTTATGATGTTCAAAACCCAGGAGAATGTAAATCTGTCTTGAAGGAACATTACTCAGACTCCATGTCAGGCCTTTGATATTTTAACAATTTTATTTTTCCTGTTGTGCCAATGAAGTAAGGACTTAACTGTTTTCTTCTGTACTGAGCTGGATCTGACTTTTGTAGTAGAGAATGCTCTTTCAAACAGAGCATGCCCTCCCATATCTTGTTGTGAGACAGGTGTAAATGAGAGCCTGACTGGCACTCTTTTTCTTTCGGAGCAGCATCAAAAAGGAATCTGGATGCATTTTGGATTGAAAAGGGCTAAGTGACCCTTATTTCTGAAACAGAGGCCAAGTCCTGGCTTCCATGCTGTTTCTTTTCTCCTCAACTCCAGCAGCACCAAGGGATTTAAAGTTGCTCTGACTTAGAATCTGAACATTTCTCTTGTCCTTTATGACGTGTGTTCCTGATCCTACCATCTGCTGCAAGCATGTAAATAGAGCATGAGGTTGTTCAGAAATAACAGAATACATTCTTCAAAACTGTTCCTCAGATCTCAAATTAAGCTGTCCTAATGTGGCTCAATGACCAGATTGCCCTGACTACCCCAAAGATCTGTAAACAAGGAACTAAAAGGTAACAGCAACTATCAAGACATCTGCTTCTCTGGGAAATCTGCAATCTGGTCTTCAGTCCTGCTTTCTCAGCTGCTGATCTCTTCTGAATCCAGGCTTTCCAGTGATTTACTCATTTATGCCTAGTAATCTTGAAATATCTTTCAGTTTTCCAACAAAACCAAGCCAACTCTTAACAGGAAACATCCCCCCTTGGCTTCTGCAGGGGTTTTCCCCATCAACGAGCATGAGTTGCACATGGAAGCATAGTTTACCCAACAGGGCAGGAGTCACTGCTGCCATGGCCAGCTGGGTGGTGTAGTTAAAAATATACCTGTGGACTGGGTTCCAGTCAGGGGCTGGCTCTCCTTGTCATCATGTAAGGCAACGATACTGACAGTGTACTCAGAACCAGGCCTGAGGCCATGCAGCTCAGCAGTGTCGTCTTCACCATCTGGGGCAGGCAATAGCTCATGGATTCCATCCTCAGGGCTTGAGTAGGTCACCCTGTAACTGGTGACTTGCCCTTGTGGGCTTTCCCAAGCAATTTTGATGGAATCAACATCCACCTCAGTGAATGTCAGTCCTTTAGGGCGATCAATGTCTGTTAGGCAAATTAACGGTAAGAGGTTATGTGATAAAAAGCAGGCAGTGGGAGGAAAAAAAGCATTTCTAATACATGCAAAGCAGTCTTCAGTTTTGCTAGGATAAATGTCCAGTCCTACAGTGCCTTGCACTTTGTACATATATCCATATCTGTGCAAAATGAGTTTGAAGTAAAGGTTAATCACTAGAAATAAACTCACAGGCTAAAGAAAACAGGACTTCAGTGTGGCCAGGACCTCACTCCACACATCTGTTTCTTGTTTATACCAAGACCTCTTTATGCCATTCTGGTGGCATCAAGGGGGCCTTAAGATTAACAGAAACATCATTTATACCCTTTTAAGACCCCTCACCAGAGCCAGAACCATTTAAACATGTCATAATGTTAATGACAATCAAGCCTACCCTTCTGATTTGGAGGCTTCATGTTGTACTTACACTTTATTGGTGTAAATGGCTGTACAAAGTGCAAGGCTGACAAACATAGGATCCACCATTTTCCTTTGTAAATTGGCATCCAATTAAATTATTTGTAAAGAAAGCAAATTGCTATGCAAATTATATTCTAAATCAATAAAAACCTTTAGATGTGAAATGAGTGTGCAGAGGATGCTCATATACACAATCAGATCACATAAACACCCGCAGATTAGTTCCACTCATTGTCTTCATCTGATGCAACCAGATCATGGCACCAAATCCCAAGCTAGGGTATACAGAAGCACAGCTCTGCTGAAGTCCAGCTTGACTTGTGTGAAGCTATACTCATTTATGCCTGCTGAGGATCTGGCCCTTAAATCTCTATCTTTACATCAGATCTAAATTTTCGTGAAGATTCCCAGTGTCATTTTATTTGCCATGTAAGGTTAGTCCTATGCACTTGCATTTTCTATGCTTTATAGCTAGCAAAGGTGGTTTTTTTATAGGAAAGTTTTGTCTTAATATTTGATACAGCTTTTCAAGAAAACTCATGCTCTGTTTTACTGTCACTTTAAACACAAGCCAGAGCAACAAAGAGCATATAAGTTGCACTACCCTAGGTAGCCCTGTGTATTAGATACCCCTCTGAAATACAGTGTCTTCCCTGCTTTTTCTCAATGAGAGAATACCTTACTGCTGCCTTATACCCACAGAAGAGTAGTGAGTGGAAGTCAAGACTCAGCCTATTCCTTCCCCACAGAGTGAGCATACACCCCATTTATTCTTATATGCCTTGTCCCAAGGCATGGGTAAGTCAGAGAAGGGTATAAAGTTAATTTCTTACTCCCATGTTTAGCAAAGTGTGCTATATCAACATCTAGCCCTTACATAGTACAGGGTAAAACCACCTTTGCCATCGAGCTCTAGAAATCAGGTCTATGCAGAACAATTTTCCTAGATTGGCTAAAGGCAAAGAAAAAAAAAAGACCATTTTGCTTAGGGCATTTTTAGTGGAAGAAACTAAAGCGCAGCATTTGGGGGAAATGCATTTTGGCAGCCTTTGGGAATTGCATTTTGCCCAGTATTTCTCAATGATCAGGACTCGTGTTTATTCCTCTGGAGTCTAGACAGCTGTTAGTCGTTTTCTCCTGGGTTCCAGCAGTGTTTGGTAGATTCAGACATCAGAGTTATTTTGAGTTTTTTTGTTTTGTTTTTTTTGCTTGCTGTGAAGTTAAATACGTACTGGTAACAGTTGTCTCGGACAGAGGTTCGCTTTCTCCATTTTGATTCTGAGCATAGACACTAATCACATACTCAACTGTGGGCTGCAGGCCCTCAACAGTGACTTCGGTTTGATCTGCAATTAAATAATAACACCAGGTTTAATTTGGAACAGAAATATGTGCCTCTTCTGCCAAGTGCTACAGAGGGGAGTGATGCCAGAATGAAACCTGTGGCTGAGTGGAGGTAAATGTGGTTATGCAGTTTGTCTCTTCCTGCTCTCAGGAAAGAGACTGTGGAGTCAATAAATGTCTTGGCAAAAGTTATGGGGAAGGTTAGCAAAAAGGAGCCAAGACAGTTTCATTGTAAAACCGGTGTGCTCCACCCTGTACTCCAATGTCTAGGGATTAGCTAACACTTCCCCACGTCAGTTCCACTGGAGAGAATAGAGAGAGCAATCACTAGCCATAACATGGTGAATCTCCTGCCCTTGCTGGAAGGGGCTGACCAAAGCAAGCTCTTTGGTTTGGTTAGGAATCTATAGGGCTGGCACAGGGTTTTCTGTGGATTTCCACCCTTCTCTGGCTTCCTGACCTTGCTCTTTGCACAGACAGAACTGAAACATTTGACTTTCTGAAATGGGATTGAACACTAACCTAATAACAACAGCAAATATCCTTGTGAGCTAAGTTTAGCATATATATAAAGCACACTGAAATGTTCAAGACAGTCCCCAAAAAAGGCTGTAGGCTGGCCACTATGTCAGCCAGTACAGTGGAGTCTGCCTCATGCTCTCAAGTTAATCCTTGGGGGACTCTATAAATTTGGGAGGAACTTTCTAAAGATCCAGAGACCCTCTCAGAGGGGGTCTGCATCAATGTTGTTCTCTTTGTTGCACCATTAAAACATGAAGTTTGGGAGCTAAATTTACACTGGCTTCCACATTGTGAGATGCTCTTGAAGAGAGAGGAGCTGCATGGGGATGCAAGTTAGGGCAAGACTTGGTTTGTATAACTAACCCGCTAACTCTCAGGGTTGGTTTTAGCTCTTCACATGTACTACAGTGTCACACTCTTTGCTTCCAGGTCACATGATCTTACCTGCAGGGACGGTTTTAGTTTTTGTGGGCCCATGGCCATCCTTGGGAACAGTTGTCACTCGATAACCTGTGACTGGAGAAGATGAAGGCACCCATCTGACACTGATACTGTTATCCTGAACATCAGTCACTTGCATCTGGGATGGTGTGTTAATCTCTGGACATCAGAAAATAAATTGTCAGTATATGTGATGCATAAAGTCCCTCTTTCTCACCATGTTCTATGTTGATAGGCCCAGCTATTAACTCCCACCTACATTTATTCTTCTTTCCTTTTTCTAGACTGTGATTATTTTTAAAGGAAGACAATTTTTTTTTGGTTTTTTTTCTTATCTTTTGATTTATCCACTGGAAGCATACAGAAGCCCTAACCAGGGATCATGGACTTTGGTCACAGTTCAGTGACGGCCCACTGAGCCAAGTAGGAGCTTCTTTTAAAACGTCTATTAAAGGGCTTTCCATTGCTTGTGGTGGGAGTTGCATTAGAACTTCTTTAAAGCAGAAATGAGAAGACAGCCACTGCCCTTAAGAATTCTCAAGAGTAGTTCCTAGTAGGATCAGTTAATACCTTGATAACATGGTTCTGATACATACCATAGACTGAGGCAGACAGCTAGTCTAAAGACTAGAGAAGAGCCCAGAGGGTTATGCACTCCATGAAGAAGACAACATTTGCTTGAACATGTCCTGCAACTCTGATTTCATGATTTGGAGGCTCCTCTCAAGAAACAGCCCCACAGCCCCAGTGAATTTGTTCAATCTTATTTTAATGTCCCTCCTGCTCCCAATTCCAAAAACTTCCTTCCCACTTCATGTTTTAACACAATAGGACCAAATTAATTTGAAAAGTAATTTCACTGCAGGCAAAGGGCTACTAATTGAGCCCATTATTTCCAACAGAAACTAAGAAAATTATGAATTTTAATAGGGTTAAATTAAAATTTTACCTATTTTGTACGTAACAGTGACTGGCTTGCTGCTGGCAGGACTGTCTCCACGGCCTGTTACTGCATACACTGTGATGGTATAGTCTACTCCAGGCTTAAGGCCACTAATGTTAGCATCAGATACGGTGCCAGGCACTGTAAACTCCTGAACAGGGCTACTTCCACCTAAGAAGGGCACAGCAGGAAAATAAAATCTCAAACCTGTTGATATTACTCATGTTTTAAATACAAAAGCAAGAGCAGATCCAAAGCCCACTGAATCCAAGTTAGCGAAAGACTCCCTTTCATTTCAGTGAGCTTTGGGTTAACCCAGGATGTATTAGTAAACACTTTTTTTTTTTTTTTTTTTTTTTTTATCTTGAACCAAGAGGCAAAGGAGACGTGTGCTGAACTTCCACTGCCTGGAGTTTCTAGAAGTAATCCTTATTTCTGAAAATGATTTACTATCCTTTAAAATATATGCCATTATAGTATGCCATCTATTTGGTAGTCTTCTTGAAACATATATGCAAAACATCACTTTATAATTCGAAGCCATGAGAACATATCATAGAATCACAGAAAAATCATATCACACATTGCAGTCAAAGTTGCCCTTAATCTTTGCTGCAGCCTTAAAAATACTTAAAGCTTCAATATCAAAGAGGAGTCATGACTGGTAATATTAGGGCACTCTAACCTGTTTCACCATAGGTGATCCTATAGTATCTCACTGTCACTGCTGGAGCATCCCAGGAAATCCTTAGGCTTGTGGGGCTGGTGGGAGTAACTTCCAAGTCCTGTGGAACATCAGACACTAGAAAAGAGGTTAAATAGTTTAGAAGGAAGTTTAAAAAATATTTAAGACCAGCTGGCTACACATTCCACCTACCATCGTGTAGACTGTTGATACTAACAAATCCTTTCAAAGCCCACAGCTGGCATGAAGTCAAAGGGCAAAGAGCCAGAAACCAGCCTATTGACCCCAAAGGGAAAAAACTTGTTTTGACTTCAACATTGACTGGATTGAGCTCTAAATGTTTACCCTCCTGTGAGAATCTCTGGAAGAGTGCAAAGGTACCCAGAAAGCTCATTTCTGAAGGATAATTTCATAACTAGGGGAGGATTTTGAAAATCTCACACACAAGGTTAAGGAGCAAGGCTCCAATATCCTTCTGACTCTACCAGCCCTGGAGTTGTAATGGAAGTTACCCAGGGAGTGAGGGGTGACCGTCCTTTCCTCTTGCAGCACCATATCAAAGGTAAGCTTTAATTTAATTTACAACAAAAGAAATATGGACATTAACCACATTCACTCTAATTAACATTTTGCCTCCTTAGAAATGTCTTTGCAAGATAAAATACCTTGCCTCCCAAGAAGACGAATGTCTTACACTTCAGTTGTGATCCGAAGCCCACAAAATCAGTAGGAGTCACCTCACTGATCTCAGTAGGCTCGGCATCAAGTCCTTTCTCATGCTTAGCATTGCTTTTCTTTTCTAGCAAACCTTCCACTTTAGCGTTGGTCACTCAGTGATTTGCCAGCCAGCAGGAAGGACATGGTTTAATAGGAACAACATAATCAGCTGAGAGAGAGATTCACTCTACATTTTATCCAACTTCATTCCAAGCTTACCTGTAGATTGCTGGCCGACCAAGGGCAAGCTCTCTTCTCTGCCAATGAAAGCAATAATGCTGACCACATACTCAGACCCGGGAACCAGGTTAGTGAGTGTGATGGAATTCCGAGAAGGTGGAATACGGTCTTCCTTGGGTCTACCACCACCATGCTCCAACTGGTGTCGAACTCTGTAGCCAGTGATGGTAGCACGAGGAGCAATCCAATGGATGGTAAAAGTGTTTGCTGTTATATCCGAAAAGTCAATGCCCGTTGGGGAATCAATACCTGTTTTCCCCATCCCAAAGAAAAGGGAGATTTAGCTTATTTGAACAACATGTTTGAAGGAAAGAGAATGCCTTGCCTGCCTACCAAAGTAATTTTGTAATCCTGGCTTGCACTGTAATAGCACTTAACTCAAGCCATAATGCCATTCAGCACTGGAATCATAAATATGTAACACCCCCTGATCATACAGAAGTGTAAAAAACCACAGGAATGTAATTGCAGAAAGTGGAATCTATCACAGCTTCAGTCCGCATTTGCCATCCTCTGAACTTAAGATATCTGGCAGTTTTAAATGGCAGCTGCAGCTACCACACTTGCTGTGCCAGGCAGTGTTTGCTGCTGCTGCCTCCCTGGAACTCACGCGCTGGGCAGCCCAGAGGCAGCGATGGCAAACACTGCTCGGCGCGGCAAGCACTGGGGCTGCAGCTGCTGCCCCTGCAGCGCAGCCCTAACAGGCAAGCCTGAAGCCAGTGCAGGGCCCAGGCTGGCAGTGGGGGTGGGTTACAAGCTGGTGCTGAGTGCGGGGGAAAAGCGGCAGGGAGCTCCGGGCACGTGGTAGGCAAGGGACTGCTTTTCTCCGCGCTCTGCACCAGCTCCTTCCCTGTTGCGAAGCAGGGTGTTGGGGCTGCATGCTGCCTCCTGCCTGTACCGCGGGGCTGGGGGGCACTGGGAGTGAGCACGTGCAGAGGGCCCACACCGGTGTCCTGGGGCCCATGCCGGCAGGGCCCAGAGCAGGGTGGTAGGAATACAGGGTCCCGGCCAGGAGGGGCTCTATGGAGCCGAGCCAGTTCCCCCCTCTCCCTGCTCACGCAGTCCAGCCCGGCTCCACAGACCCCTGCCGGCCTGCGCCCTGCTTTGGGCCCCACCGGTGCTGGCCTTGAGACATTGGTCCCAAGATAGTGACCAGGGGGCGGGGCACCTGTCAAGGGGTGGGGCTACCCATGTGGCCCTCAACCCGAAATAATTGCCCACCCTTGCTCTAAAACCAACTAAAAATCTGGCCCTTTGACCATAATGGGAATTGAGAATACCTAATATTTTCTGAGATAAGGGCCTGCAGCCTTAGTTAAACGCTTTTGGGAACTCCCTCTCTCCAACAGCATGACAATACATGTAAAATGATAATAATTTGAATGGTTTCATTAAATAAATCCCAAATTATCACATTAATGGGTGGTAAATGGAAGGGAACGACAGCTGTCTGAATTGTTCCAGGCTTCCACACTTACCTGTTTTCTGCACACCAGTCAAAGGGACACTTTCATGTTGCTCAGAGATGCTATAGACCTTCACCAGATATTCAGTGCCAGGCAGGAGATCTGAAGGATTGAAGCATGGCAGTTTAGACACTCACAGTTACCAGACTCTCAGCTGCAGTTGCAGCTTCTTACATGGAATTACTTATCTTTGCTTATCAAGTAGCTCTATCCAAAACCAGAGTCTCATCCATAGTTAGAAATCTGAACCCAGGTGAGGCTTCAGCATTTTCAGGAATGGCTTTTTTGGCTCACTGGAATCCTTAATCTGTAAAAAGCATTAGTAGTGGGTCCTCCCTCCCCTTTCTGCCCCAAGGGCATTGTTTTGAAGGGTTGCCCAGAACTGATTAGTTTGCCACACAACCTTTCCATCCAGCTCTGCAAATATAGTTAAGCTAGGTCACTGACAGATGTAAACTGGTATTGCTCCACTGATTTTCAGTGAAGATATTTTGATTTGCATCAGATAAGAATTTGGCTCTTTAAATTTAGAAAGCACACAACCCACTTACATTGTTTCTAGGGTGGAGAAGGAATAAAGTTTTTTTTTTTGTATCCAGAGGAGCAAATTAATTACAGGGTTAAAATTTCAAATGGTGCAGTTATTTCTTTTTCAGAAAGCTACAGAGTTAACGAAGCAAAGCCCCATGCCCCGCCAATCACTGACCTTTGGCAAACAATACGAACTGACATTTAATACCTAACCTAACTAAAAATCCAGATCGATTGCCTCACAGCAGAGTGCATCATAGTCCTTGACTTATCAAGAAAACCCTTATGGGTTTTGACCATAGCTTAGAACAATGAGCCAAACCAATGGGCCAAATCATATCTGTGGTAAACTTGTCCTATTCCACTGAAGGCAATGGAGCCACATCAAGTTATTCTCCATCAGAATATGGCCCCTTATATTTATTCCAATTCATTTCTTGCTTTTGCCTCCTCCTTTGGAGTGTACTCTAATAAAGAATTTGTAACAGGGTTGGAGTTCTCAATTTGTTCAGAAGCTTGATCACATCTTAATAGGGGTTACTTCAAGCCCCAATTCACTTTTCATTTGCAGTCAACTAAGCACATTCCTTCTATTCATGACTACACAACGTCCCTGTTACAGACAACAAATATGTAGCTGGAAACAAGTCGGGGGGGCAGGGAGAGGAGCTCAAGCAGCTCTCTACAAACCACCAGCAAATGCTCCTAAGACCACCAATAATCAAAAGATTTCAGCCCAAGATTTGCTGCTGGAGAGAAGTGTATTACATTTGGTTGGACTCTGCAGTTAACCTCTTACTTTGTAAATACACTGATCTGTCAGTGGGCGAAATAGTCAGCTCTGCAACATCTTCCTCATTCTTCACTGGGGAGTAACGCACTAGGAAACTGCTCAGGACAATAGAGGTTGGAGGAATCCAGGCCACTCTCATAGCATCGGGACCCACACTGGTGAAGCTCAGGTCAGTTGGAGCAGGAACAGCTGTGGGCAAAGCATTTTTTGTTAACATTCTCTGGGAGGTAAGAGTGTGCTCAGGCACAAGTTCATAAAATCTACAAAGAAAACACCTCATGCAAAAAGAGGCTACTGTGTCTGACCCATGCAAACATACTCCTAAACTACATTTGGCTCCACTATGGTTAAAAACCAGTTTTACTACTGTTAGGCTCCTTTAACCTCTCAGCAATAATTGATACTTCAATGTATTCTGTAGAGCTAATTTGAAAACAAGGCAGCAGGTCTATAATATGGCTTTTACAGCTGGATCTCACATTACAGCTATGAAGCCAAGAGAGGCTTAAGTTGCCATACAGCAGCCAATAGATGAAAAAGTCTTGTCCAGATGTTATAATGCATGCACAAGGGAGGAGATGGGATATCTGTTAAGTTCCTACAACTCTACAACTACTTGTGTGTGAGGTTCCAGAACATAGGCAGTTTATGCAAACATGACAGGGTTCCATGCAAAAACCAGTTTTTGACTCATCTTCTGCCCATGCACTAGAGAGAAGGACCTTGACAGAGTGACATGCCTGTCACTAGCGCAGGCTCAGGGACCAACATTTCTTATTTACCTTTTAGGACATTGTTGAAAGAGTCATGCCACCACTAAAATACAACGTTAACATCTCAATTAACCTGCCCAGTGAGAAAGTCAATGGACTCTCTACTAAGTCACATCTACTGAATGAATCCTCTCTTTCTGGATCTCATGTTACTTTGCAGATTGCAACTCAGGATATTTGGAGATTATAAACTCAGATTTTGCATTGTCAGTGAATCCAACTGCAGTCTGAAAATCTGAGCAGTTAACATGAGTAAACTCCCAACTTCACAGTTATTCTGCTATGTTGGAATGAAATCCATGGACAGAATCAAAAAGTGCAAACTGCACATCAACCCTTATATTTAAAACAGGAGCTAGGCCTCATCTAGCCTGTCCCATTATAGTGAGTGGCTCGATTCTTCCTGAACACCCCAGTTGTCCCAGCAGCTAGTGACAGCATGAAACACTGTCCATGATGCAAACACAGAAGACTTCAAAATTCACCCGTTTGCTGTGTCAGAGTGGTAGGGGCACTCTCTCCACCATTAATAAGTGTGATTACACTGATGTCGTAATCAATGCCCGGCTCCAGGCCTGTGACTGTGTAGTATCCTATTGAGGAGTCCACAAAATCTTCAAAAATAGGGACACTTTCTCCTCCTGCAACTACTGTGATGCGGTAACCAATAATGGTGGAGGAGTTTAGCGGGGTCCACCTCAGGCCGATGCTCGTATCAGTTATATCAACAAAGCTTAGGTCAGTGAGCTGCGGCACTTCTACTGATTTAAAGAGCAAAAGGGAAAGGCAAAGACACATTGAGGCAAAAGAAAAGAGGGAAAAAAATAAAGCAGTGTTCATCAGATTACACGTATTAACATTGAAATGTTAAAGCAATTAGGGTGATATGTGGCATTTTTCTCTTGAGGGCCGAATTGTGCTAATCTTTCTTATATTCAATAGCACTGCACTACTCATGTATGACCAGTTTCACAGGGGTAACTCCCAAAGAAAATCTCAGCCTTACTGGGATTTACAAAAGTGCCTAAGCAGGTAAAGGGATGGGACAACTGGGCCCTATGATTTTTGTTCATTTGTTTTGTTTTATGATTATCTTTAAGACCTACCCAATTTCAGCAATTAAAAAAACCCTTCTTCTGCCAACTTATATATGTGTATGAAAGAAATTGAAATACTTTAATTGCCCCTCCAAAATGAATTGTTCAGTTCATAACATTATCTATCCATTTGGAATGTAGCTGATGAAAACCCCGCTAGCTCCAAATGAAGCTAGCTGCTGTTAATTGGCATATCTTTATTAACATAAATGAAGCTACAATAGTTTCCCAGCTGAGATGTGGCCCAGTATTCCTAAAGTTCCACTGTTACAGCTGCAGCACACATGCTAAAAAAAATCCCAAACTTGGAAGCAAGAAAATGTTTTACATGGAAAAAACTAAGTGGTTAAAAATGGGCCTTTCTAGGTTACAGATATTCCATGTGAAACTCACAGCATCATCATGCTCAGAATGTTAATCCAGACACTCTAGATCTACTTGAATGTAAAAGTTTGGAACCTAGGTAGTTTATTCAAACATTACAAAGTTTCATGCAAAAACAGTGTCATGCGACTGAGAGAAATTGACTTAGTTTCTTAACTAAACCATTTTAATCTCCCCAAACAAAACCACTAAATTAGGATTCATTTTAAATATCCTTCAAAATGTATCCCGTGTTTTTGCATGGCTAAGGTACCTGTAAGACTTATTCCTATGGACATCACAACTTTAGCAAAGCCGCTCTTTTCTAAGGATTAGACTCAACAGAAATTGGGAAATTGGCTTTGTCTTTAATCTTATAGGTGCCAAACTTCTATTGATGTAAAGTGACATTTTGACTCCAAAGTCAATACAACTATGCTACTTTAATCCAACAGAGTTTGGCCCTATAAATTTAAGAGTGCAAGCCCCGAGACAATGGGAATCATAGATGCTCTCCCCATCTCAGGATCTGACCCTAGTAAAAGACCGGTGGCTTATTAGGGTCATTAGGTGGAAAAGAAAATATGGGATAGAAATGGTGTAAAAGGGTGTTGTATTTGATAACAGAACATTGCAATATTGCTCAATTTTGAAAAACCATCATTTTACAGACTAAGTGCAACAAAATGCTAATTTTCTGTAAAATATCTATTTATCCGCATGGAATATATTTTCCATATCACCTTGAAAGAGCAATAAAAGACACAAAGGATGACATTTTAGTACATCTTCCAGTAGAGGATGGCACAGGGTTGAAGCTATTATTGCTTTAATTATTACAGTACTGCCGCCTTGGTTACCCCTGAGAGCATATGGCATCCCAGTGAAGCATAGAAATTTTAAAGCAGTGTTAAGAGCCAAGCATTTGCCATACATAATAGCTGGCATCATTTCAGGACTTCGCAGAAACAAAACAAACAAAGCCCTTGACAAAGCAAAATGAAACCAAATTCTCCAGAGAGATGAATGTTAATTTTACTGCTATGTCACTGCAATTACAAAAGGCAAGTTCCAATGTGACATCCTTGTAGGCAATGAAGAGTAGTATAGAGAAATAAGCTACATTTACTTGCCTTGTTACTTCACCTATTCCAGAGAAGAAGTAACCTCCTCTTAGATCCTTTCAGTAATGCATTACTTCCTTCCTTCCTCATCTCAACCAGTGCAGCTCTGCTGGTTATTGTGCAGCAGTCATTCTAACCCACTTGGTGAAAGGGTGTATAGTAGTCCCACTGAGCTAACTTCCCTTCCCATTCCATCTACAGATGGCAATGCAAGTGGCTCATACAGAGGAGTAAAGGGGTTTAATTTGCCCCCTCTGTCACCTGCCCCATGTGCAAAATGAATATCTAAACCTGCAGTCCTCCTCCAGCAAAGTCTATGTGTTTTCTGCATGCTGACTTGTAGGGTCAGCCTACTGCTGTAATGGCTGATGCCACTCCTTGTCCTTTTTTTACCTTGTGTGATGGTTTTGGAGATGGGGATGCTTTCCTGGTTGCCCTTGACTGAATACACACTGACGTTGTATTCCACTCCAGGGCTCAAATTTTCAAAGGTGCAGTAAGTCTGTTCTGCACTGACCACTTCTTCCAGGGTGTAACCTTGCTGTCCACTGGTAGGAGCAGTGGTAATTCTGTACCCAGAAATACCTTAAATACATAAAACACAAGAAGAAATGAGTCCATGCTATATTTATTCAAATCAGGCATATATAATTGCTTGTATCTTACCCTCCTGATCATACCCAAACTCCTGGTCCTGGCAGGCAAGTACACATTCATTTGGAGTTGACACATAAAGAAAAGTTTCCAAAGAGCTGCCCAGTGGAGACTTAGCTGAGCAGTTCCCATAGGTATTAATGGGAGATGCATGCTTATTCAGGGGGATTCAGTGGCAGAGAGGTTAAGGCATCTTGCCGTGGCACCAAATGTCTAAGTTTGACCTTTGCTCTGGACTCATACCAAAGGCTATCCCCTCTGTGGAGTTACTTATAAGTAGATATCTGGTCATTTGCCAGGTGATCAAAGGCAGACAGGATGCTAATGACATAATTCACTTGTGTGATGGTGGCTATGGAAACTGACATGCCTTAACCGTGCTAGGTCAAGGGCCACTAGGGTCAGGTGACACTTGACTTTTATCTGATATGATCACTCATTCCAGCACTTTGACTATTCACTCTTAGGAGTTCAAGACAAATTTCTAGTGACACAAAAGACCACATTTATAGACCCGGGATTGGATTTTCTAAAGTGCTCAGTGTTGACTTAATTGTTCTTGTAGAAGTCAGTGGTAATATTCCCATTGGCTTCAATGGGAGAAAGCGAGTGCCCTGGAAATCCCATGCATGGTTTCCATTGCATACACCCAGTTTTTACCACCATAAATCCTCTCTTTCCTTTAGTCTGTTTTATAACTGGAGGGAATATTTGAGTTCAGCTTAAAACCATTTCCATTATATTTTGAAAAATAATTTCACATGGAATGTAAGGCAGATGGGGAGGTGGAATATTTGTACTATACTTCATTGTATTTCAATGTAACAAAGTTAAATGGCAACAAAATGTTTATTTGGTGACCAGTTAATAAAGTAGGAGCTGCTGGTAACATGAATGTAATGCAAGTCAGTGTAATTACACTTGACTTCGGCTGATTTGATGGAAAGCAATTTGTGCCTATATGCAATTACCTGGAGTGGTACTTCTATCCCAGGATACAGTCAGGACTCCTGTGTCTGGGTTAGGCTCCAAATGAAGGGTAGTTGGTGGGGACAATGCTACAAGAAACCAAATAAATGATTAGTAGATCATTCAAAGAATCATTATTTCCTTTAATGAAGAAACCCTACTTCCTTGTTGTGATTAACTAAAAAAATGGATTATTTCAGAACTGGTCTTTGCTCTGCCCCATGTATTAAAATAAAATGGCATACATGTATCAAAGAGAAAATAAATGAGACTGGGGGAGACAAAGGGAAGGACATAGGGAGACAAATACTACATTTGAAGCCTTTCCATTCATGCCAACTGGAACTGTATCAGGCACATACATTTCAATGTTCTTTATAAGCAGTCAGTGCCATTTGTCTCAATAACTACAAGAAGGAATTGGGGAACAGAGTCATGCCTGTGGTAGCAGAGGTAATACTGCAAGTCAGTGACACAGGTGACATGATACTAGAATCCAGATGTCCCTAGTCCCAGTCTAGTACTTTATCCCTGGATAAATTAGGGATGAAATCAAGGCAGAGTACAAATATGGAAGGTAATCATGGGAAAAATCAGAGGTGTCTTACGTGTAACTACACTCTTGATGATTGGATTCTCTCTCTCCTCGCCGTCCATCAGGACTGAAATGCTGTAGATGTATTCTACTCCAGGAGTCAGGCCAGATATGACAATGCTACCAGATTCAGAAATCACCTCCCGTGGGGCTTCTCCACCTTGACTTGGTCGCACACCCAGCTGCCAAGGGGAACCAAGTTTGAAAAGTCATGTCTTAGTCTTGCATACTAACAAGTTAGGTGCTTACAGGCATGCTATAAACCTCTTCCCCAGTGACCCTAGCATGGGTCTGCGTATTTCATACTAATCATTAACGAAGTAGTTGTGGGGAAGCTAGCCTATCTTCAATGCCATCTCTTACACAAAGGGCACATATAGAGTGCACCTCTGTAAACCAAGGGGAACATGATGCCACATACCAAAATGTGCTGATGCAACCTCACTGGGCGATAAGAATAAATCATCAGGATGCTTCATAAGTGGGCTGGCTCCAAAACTCATAGAAGTCAAATGAAAGACTCCCACTGAATTCAAGAGGCCTTGCACCAGGCCCGTTTTAGGCATCACTTCCTTGCATAAATATTTTAATCCCTGAATAGTCACTCCAAGAGAGGAACACAAGGCACTTAACTGTTGTACTCAATGCTATCATATTTGCAACTACATCTTTTCCCAGGCTATTAACTTCAACATGGCCCATGACCATTACTTCTTAACTGATCCTATTTGGGTGACAGCTACTATAATTAAGCAATAGGTGGGAGGGAAGAGCCAAGGACTTTAACTTTCCTACCTTGAAACCAATTCTTGGTGCAGGTGTCCAGGTAACCACAATGGATGTTTCTGTCACTTCTGTGTGATAGAGAGGGATTGAGCCCACTGGCTGCACTGTGAAATGAATTAATAAAAGGAGTTCATATTTAGCAATACTCAGACAGGCAGTCACAGAAACCTATGTTAACACACTTCTCATTCTACAGCTGCTCAGTAGAAGATAATGGTACAAAACACTAATGACTTACAATGTGACTTTCATGATCTTATTTTGGCCTTGTGTTTGTTCTCTACAAAATTAAAATCACAGAACTGTAATATTGCTTCATTTATGAAGTATACATTTTTGGGAGAGGCTGTCAATATTTGCTTTGCATTAAAATCTTTCTTTTAAAGTTCAAAATTTGGCTGCAAGTACATCCTGTGGTTAGACTTGGAAGCCCGGGCTTTTTTTTTTTTCCCCGTCTATAGCTAGATCAATTAAAAAATATATACTTTTTTCCCAAAAAGTAAATTCAAAATGTTGCCAACTCGTGTGATTTAACTCCAAGTCTCTGGTACCCTATTATGCTTACACAAGGATTTCAGATTTCACTTTTGAAAGTAAGTTTCTAGCCCTTGGAGTTGCACAGAAAGTTTGAGCATGAGTCCTATAGGCTCTCATCTCAAAAGGCAAATATAAAGAAACTAATGTGTAATATTTATTTTAAAATCACATACTTTGAGGGCATGAACAATTATTTTTAAATGCTGAGAGCTGGCAACAATGAATTTGACAACCAATTTGTCCAAAAGCTCAATTGTTTTTGGTGGTGCTGTGCAGAGAAATCAAAATATTAGGGTTTAAAAAAGATACTAGTTGGGCACAGGGCCTCACGGAGCCTCTCTCTTCCCAGCCATAAGTTTGGGAAAGAATGCTCTCCTGGGGAGGGTAAATATACTTACTGGCCCAATGGGCAGCTTCTTCCATTTGGGCCCTTTATCTACAATGTCCCAGGCCAGTAGTTATGACTCTAGTTCCCTCTATTCATCTCCCCTACTCAAACCCAAAGACATTCCCTTGTCTCTTGCCCTCAGCAGCATCTTCAACCCAATATGGCAAAAGGTAATTCAAACCAAGTTTGAGGAGCTTTATCAAGCTCTGTGATGAGCCCAACCATATGCCAGCTGGTAGGAGTGTCACAAAGAAACCAAAGCTCTTGATTAAAGCAGTCAGCCCAGAATATCTCTAAAGAAATCATCAGATTTACTCTGAATTGACACCAGTGTAAATAAAAGCAATATATTGGCCCACTGGTCCATACATGTGACCCAGATTGGACCCTTCCACTCAGCTGGATATAGAAGGCCATGCTGTGTCATAAGGAGGAAATGGATTCCACTTAACAGAGATTCTGTGGAGCAATTACCTCTTTGCTGTAAGGTCACTTAAGTCAATAGTGTTTCTCCAAAGATAAATGTAGACCCTTTCTTTTAACTTCATATTTCTTTTCAAACAACAACTTATGCTCCTTTGAACAGAGGATGTGGCTCTCAGCCTGACCAATGCGGGTTTTTTCCCCCTGAGGTTTGTTGGTTTATATTGCAACTTCACCATAATTTAAATAGTGAATCATATTATTTGTATTCATATCTTATTCTTTCTAAAAGGATGTTAGGTTTTTAAGAAACGCATATTAAGCCTATAATCCTTTGGGAAAAGCCTCTTTTTATATTTTTTCATATCAAACAGCAGAAATAAAAGGGACAGAGGTCAACATAGCTAATATATCATACTTGTGTCTGTAACTATAAAAAGTATCCACTCTTTGTGAAATGATACAGTCCAACTGCAGAAATACTACCTTTTGATTTTTTTTTGCAAACTTGTGAATAACTTTTTTCCACTTCCCTGTGAAGAATGTCTGATTACAACGATTTTTCACCTTTCATTTAGAATTTTTAAAACCCAACCCCAATTTTTTTTTTGGTATCTTATTGTTGAAAAGTGAACATGTTTTTGTTTCTTCAACATTTTAAAACATTTTGTTGAAAATTTTTGAAGATGAACCCTTTTCTGTTTCAGCCAGAATTTCTCTCAGGAAAACACCTAATTTCTTGAATGGCTCTATCTAAACTTTATTTCAAAGTATTCCTTTAGAAAAGCAAACTAGAACAGCAACTCTCAGCACAAAACCTACAGCTTTGAAGACAGCAGTGTTATCAAGCAATGAATAGGAACCCATTGTGCTTACAAGTTGTGAAGACCCCAGTTTCTCTGGTGCTTTGCTGGTTGCCTTTCATTGCTACAAGGTATACAGTATACTCAGTCCCAGGCTGCAGGCTCTTTAATAGGTATTTAATGACAGATGGTCCCACATTATAGTTCCTTGGCTGGCCTCCTCTCGTGGGACCTATAGTCAGTCTGTATCCTGAGATTGGAGCACGTGGTGGAGTCCAGGTCACCAACACTGAAGATTCAGTAGTATTGATAAACCTCAGGTTGGTGGGGGCATCCAGTTCTAAAAAGGAAAGCAAAACGAATGTTAGTATTTCTGATGAGATAATAACACCCTGCTGCTGCTGTTAATTTCAAAATACGCCCGTCATGATTTTGAAAAACTGGGTCCTAGAATAGATTGCTAAATCCATATCAACACACTTAATGAAGTGGCCTGATTTTTAAAACTGTTGAGCCCAGCAGCTCTTATTGAGTTCATGATTGTTTCTGAGTACTTAGTAGAATTCTTTAATCAAGCTACTTAGGGTACATCCATACAAGCGCACGCATGTGATCTGCAGCACCTCAAACCTGATTGTGGGGCTGCAAACTGTATGTGGTAAATGTGCAACTGTGCGCTGTGCTGCAGATTTTCAGCACAGTGCCAAAACTTGATACTGGAATGTCCCACTATTAAAAAAAAATGCTGCAAAAAGCAGCATGGCGTAAGTGCACCACCAGAAATGGAACCTGGCTGTCTAGAGCTCTGGTCTGGCTGCTGGCCAGGCTCTGAACAGCCAGATCAGCATTGCTGCTGCCCTGGGAGACCAAGGGCCCCAGGTAAGGCTGCTAGGGCCAGCACAGGTGCTGGCCTCAGTCTCCCCTATCCCACTCAGGACAATTTGTCATGTCCCTATGTCAAGAACCAGTGCTACAAAGTCCTGAAGGCTCCAACAGACCAAAGTACCTAAACACATGCTTAGAGTTATGCCTGTGTTTAGTATTGTGCCTAGATCCAGGTCTAAATGAATGGAATAGAGATGTTACCCTTGACAAAGCATGTCCTTGTAAGAACTAAGGACCGGATTTTAAGAGATATTTAGCTGGCTAACTCTTATTGAAAGCAATGGAAGTTAGCAAATTCAATATGTTTTAAAAGTTGACTCTGAGTTGCAACCTTTTCTGTATCATGTTGCTGGAACCAGCACTTGTCAAAAAATTTCCATCAAGCCCTTTTTGATGAAAAATGGTTTTGATTAAATGGAAATTCTTTTGTGAGAAAATGTAGTTATCATAAAGCCCCAAAACAACGGCTTCAAAACAGGTTTGAGGACGGTCTCCATCTAGAATATAAAAAGCTGGTTGGGGGTAATAAATATAAATGTATCAAGTTGTATTTGTGTACCTCTACTACTATGCAGCCTTATTCCTCACACAAAATGGTTAGGGGGTCATATCTCATACGTAGATATGTACTCAGTTATCTGTTACAGAATTTGTTCCGCCAGCTCTGCTAGGGTTTTTCCTCACTTCCTTCTTCCATGTTAAAAACAACACACATGTGCACTCACACACAATCAGTTTATTTACAGACCTCTGTTTAACAGAAAAACAGAAAGGGAATCAAGTATGCACCGTGGGAAGACTGTTGCTGCTGGGTTTTATCTTGGGAACTCTGACTGCTTTCTTTTTCCCAGGACTTCTGATTACAGGACACAATTTATAGCATACTTTCTGAAATGTAGTTTAAACAAAACAGTTAAGTGAATGATCGTAGCCTCCAAGAAAATAATTCCAGAACTTTGCTACTAAGTCTGTGCAGAGCTATTCAATTGCCTATACTCAGCTTTGTATCCCACCAGGGACCATATTTCCAAAAGAGCTCCATATCCATTAAGGGACCTCAATGAAGTGGGCCAGATTTCCAGAAGTACTCAGAACCTACTAATCTCCATTAAGAACAAACTGTGAAATCTGTAGGTCTAACTGGGAGCTTTGTAAATGCTGCTATGTGAGGTTTGTGTGGGTGGGCATGTGTTTTTAAAGAGTGAAGCAATAGCAGAGTAAAAGATTTTCAAAAGTGCTTTCTCGTAGGACTACTGCTTAAGTTACAGACGTGTTTAGAAAAATCCCAATCAAATCAGGGATTTTTCTGTATCCCTGCTGCTTCCAGGGGGGATTGCTCTCAAGTATGCCATGCCCGGCTGCTCTCACTTGCCATGCCAAACCCAAAAAGTAAGTAGCAAAGCCTTTCTGGGAGCCCCCCCCCCCCCCGAGCAGCTCTCAAAGCATGCATCTCCAATATGCTAAACCATGCCATGGAGCATGGTTTCCTTATCTCATTTCCAGATTTGGCACATGTGGACAGAGACAGGCAGGTGAGGGATGCTCAAGTATGTACTCCCAGGACCACCAGGAAACCAATGAAGACATACCCGCAATCCTCTAGGTGCTTAGAAAACACCACTCTTCATGTCCAGGCATCTAAACTGTTTTGGAAACTTAAAAGATTTACAGACCTTCTACTTCCCTGCTTTTAGGTGCCCTGAACCAAATTTTCAACAGTTGTAAGCCCCTTTTCAAAAGGGTAGAGCAGTGGAAGCTGCAGAGGGTTAAATGCTTTTGAAAGGCTAGTCCAGGTTTAAGAGTAATATGAACAAACTTTCAAAATCAAGGACTGGACCTTACTCTAGCAACATTTTGTAGGGTTGTGCAATACTCAAGTATGCATTTTCTGGATTCTCTCTTTGATCTGCCTTTCCTGGGTTGGGAAAGCACTGCAAGGGGCACATCAAAGATGCTGAGCTCCTTTGGATTCCTCTTAACATGTTTATCCAATACCTCACTCCTTTCTGTGATTCTGGAAAATAAGGAATTGCCAGATTTCCTCTACCTTTTTCTCACCCAAGGAGCCAGGAATTTTACACTGAACAGAAAGTAACATATAGGACTCATACTGCAATACTGTCACTGACAAAACTAGGACAGGATTTGACCAGACAGGATTAGTATGAAAAATTCACGAATTATGAGCCTGATCAAAAGTCCACAAAAAAAAAAAAAAAAAATCAACATGAAAACTTCCAGAAACTTCACTGTGATGAGAGTGAAAAAAAGGTATAAAGAATGTTTTATAGCAAGTTAGCAATCCGTCTTGAACACACATTGTATAAATATAAAGTCCTAGATATATTGAATGTCGAGTAATTCTGTGCATCCTGAAATACATTGTGGGGGTATCTGATAAAAAAAAAAACCCTACAGGACTAACTTGGTAAAACCAAGACCCAGGGCACAAACCAAGTTCTCAGATGCACAGACACAGCATCTACTGAGGTGATCATGAGTCAGGCGTGCATGTCAGCTATTATAATTACGACTGGGGTTTTCAAAGAAAACTAAGCAAGGTCTGCTCCCACAGCAAACAGAAATGGTGATGTCTTTGTAAATCAGACTCTCAGCTGTTTGATAGATGAGAGCTCTAGGCAGCCCATAAATTCTCAGTCAATTTAAAAATTTCAACTACATTAAACTGTTGGAAACTGCCATGAGAATTAAACTCCCATTGGAAAGCACTGGAGGAAAATAAATCTGCTAAAGAGATCAATGGTTGACTGACCGAATTCCCAGCTCTATATTTCTACTGAATGGGTGTCTCCTGGAGTAGAACTAAGTGTTCCATTTACATTTTACTAAAAGGAACCAAAAATATTCATTTCAATGTTCTTAAAAAGCTTAAAGGAAAGATGCTTACTGGTGGTTTGCTCTCCAGTCAATGGTTTGCTCTCCCTCCCATGGCTCACAGCAAAGATCTTAAAGACATAGGTTGTTCCAGGTAGAAGGTCGATGACCTCAGCAAAGGAACTCCTGGTAATAGGCAGTCTCTGTCCATGTTCACCAGGGTGGTGAACTGGGATCACCTCCACACGATAGCCAGACACAGCACTCTCAGGTGGGGTCCACATGATGGTAATTTTGACATCAGAAACTTCCACAAACTGTAGATCTCTGGGTGAAGGAATATCATCTAACAGAAGAGATCAGTACAGCTAATCAGAGCATGTCCTCACTGAATGACAGAAGTCTACACCAGCATGGTGTGAACCAAGAAAAAAAGTGAGTGTTTACTGAATAATACAATCTATTGACGCTGATCAAAACTGTTTACCAAACAGAGAAATGTCAAGTAAACCTTATCTTTAAAAAAATTCCTGAAAGTATCTGTGTACATCTGAAATGCCATTGAGGAGCTTAAAAGATTTTGTTCTATGATTTATATATGACATTTTGTTGGCACAAAAGGAAAAACTGAATAATCAAATGTACTAAGCAGCAGAATGTCAAGTTCATACAGAACCACAAGCTTGACAAAGTACATTCTGGGACTGGAAACAAGAATCTTTTGCAAATTAAAGGAAAGGATTTTGAAAACCTGCAGCAAATTCAGAGGGTCTATAATTAACTTAAAATTCAACATCTTTATAATTAAACAACTACTGGCTCTGATTCTGGTCTCACTGAAGTCGAAAGCAAAAAACTCTCATGACTTCAGCATTGTGGGGCCAACGTGGATTCATACACTCAAAGCAGGTTTCCAGTTAAGACCTCTGTACAAGCACTGAAGCTGCATTAATGCTAGCCAGCACAAACTTCTGTAATTTTCAGAACAAATGGATGCCAAATCATAAAATCCTTGGGCCAACTTTATTCCTGGTGGATTCCCACTGTGAAAACATTATGCTTGCTACTTTCAAGGATATCTAATTCCCCTGCCAGTACACCAAATTCTAGTTCTTTTAGTATATTTCCTTTTGGTTTTGTTACTCAATCTAACTGATCGCTTTAAAGTAATGCCATTTTTTTCAAGCTGAAGTCCCTAGCATAAAGCCCCAATGTTAATAAAAGTGCTGCGAAATTTCCACTCCTATTGACTTCAGTGGAATAGGAAAGAACTTGGCCCCTGAGGAAAAAAAAGCAGGCTAATTATAGCTAGTGGATCCACGTATGTGATCCAATACATCTGAAATGAATGGCCTAAATATCAGGGCAACAAGGTACATTTTCAATAGTAGCAGCACTTGCACTCAAGGTACCTCTTTATGATGACACAGGAAGCTCTTATGGTTATCTTCCATATATGTAGACATGGTCCTATAAAACAAGCCATCTTTTGACTGGCGTGTAATCTTACCGTTAGGTATGAAGCCTTTGCTAATTAAAATGACTGATTTTAAGTGATAATCTTTCATTAACATTTGACTTATCCATGTTCGTGGTTAAAGCTTATATAGTCACTGAAAATTAGTGAGGTTTACAATTAAAGCCAATGTTGATTACAAGCCTGCTCAGAGAATTTGCAGATGCTACATTTACAATTAAAAGTATACCCTCAGGTTCACATATTCCTTTCCACTTGGCTTCTCTGTCTCTTTCAGATTAATCTATAATATCTACCATAATATATCACAGGGAGTGTTCTGGCTTTTTACCTGCACGTGGGACACCTGTGGTTTCCTGCTGGATAAAGACAGGAGTACTCTCCTGATTTTCTTCCACTGCATAAATGCTGATATTATACTGAACACCAGGCATTAAATCACTGAGGGTTACAGAGGTAGCAGTATCAGGCAGGTTCAGCTCAGTGCTGCTCCCTTCCACTGACGGTGCATAGATAATTCTGTAACCTAAAACAATGAAAACAGAGTCACCATTCATGCTCATGACAAGTTGAACAAGGAATAGTGAACATTTTATATGAACAGATTTCCCCAGATGATCCAAATAACATGCCTGAATGAGGTTTGCAGCTGTCTTCATCTATGAACCCCATCAAAAGTCAAGTTAGAGGCTCATAGTGGCCCTTTCCAAATATATCAGTCTCTAAAATGGGACAAAGCACATCTCTGGATAAGACGACCATGGCATTCTGAAGCAGTGATCTCTGGGTAACAATACAGTTTCCAGTGTGTTGTGGGGATGACTTGGGGACAAATAGGGGACACATAGGAAGATTAGCGGAGTTGTGGTTAAACAAGCCAGAACCTTAAAATAAACCTGCAGGGCTCTGTTTGTATTCCTCTCCTTGAAAACTGAAACATGGGCTTCAAATTATAAATTATAAACCCATTATAAAAATGTTACATAGTCTTTTCACCCTTAAAGGGGCAAGGTGAATCCTGCACTCCACATGAATTGCTCATCACCTCTGCTGGCCTCTGTATGTCCCTCTCTTTTTTAATGTCCAGTTTGAAGATTCCATTGATATTTTCAAACAGAATCACTTAAATGAGACAGACCTGTAATGGGAGCCTGTGGTCTGCTCCAGCTAACGACAATTGAGGTGTCATCCACACTTTCCACTGTGTGCTCTGGAGGTGCATCTGGTGCTATTTAAAGGAGTAACAAAGAAAAAAAATGAAGTGAGGCCGAGACGGGACAATCTCTCTGATAAAACAAACACAGAATAGTGGTTTCCAAAGCTAAGGAGAAGACATGTACCTGTTGTCTGTGAAGTGGACAGGATCAAGTTCTGCTCTCCTTCTTCTGAGATCTGGTAGACATTAACTATGTACTTGCGACCAGGAAGCAAGTCAGGGATGTTAACAGAGGTGGCTGTGCTTGGGAGATCTTTATGGCGGGGGAAAAAAAAAGAAAAGGCTTAGCAATTTGGCTGTTTGTTCACCAACTCCCCTCCCCATCCCTCCCAGAAACATGAGAGGCTTAGGTTCAAGTCTAGTTCTGAGTGAAAACATTTGAAAAAATTGTGTTTGGTTTAAACTTAATCTTTAGTCGACATCTCAAGAACTCCACACAATTTAGGTTAGTTAGCTTTCTAAAACTGGCAAGTCTGCCTGGAAGAAGCCAGGACCTGGAGTAGTGAGGGCACTGGAATGGCAGGCCCATGTAGACAAACCTTTATATCACCTCAGCTGCATTCTGCCTGGCATTAAGCACTGATATGCAGCAAACACTGATTCTGTACCAAATTATACCCCAAGTTCCTTATTTGGCCCAGAAAGGTTAGAAAAATGATCTGAAGGATCCAGGGATAATCAGTGTCAAGCTTTCAGCAGGGCAGCAGTTGAACAGAAATAAATCAGTGACTGTTATTCTCTCTCACACATTCTTTTTTATAACACGCAAATCCCCGTGGCACATAAGCATTATCTAGCCTCATAAATCCCTGTGAAATATTATGAATCTCATTTTTCAGAAAGGTTAGGATTAAGCAGCCCAAGGTCAGACAAGAAGTATGTGACAGAGCTAAGAAATTAACCCAAATGTCTGTAGTCTAGCCCACTACTAGATCATCCTTCCTGCATTATCTAAAATGCTGATATTACAGAACAGGAGTAGGCAATGCTTGGCACGAGTGCCAGAACATGGCATGTGCAGGGATTTAGCTTGGCATGCGTGCATTGGGGCAGACAGTGGGAAAGGGGCTGTGGCTGAGCTATCACAACAAGGATCGGGTCCATCACGACTACCCTGCTGTCTGCCCCTGGCATGCCAACATCTTACAAGTCAATGTTGTGGGTGTTTTTGGCACTCCGCCCAAAAACACTGCCAACCCATTATAGAATGGTGAGGGCACAATACAAAAATATGCCATTATCCAAAATAGGTATGTTTCTGATAATAACAACTGAGGGACTCAGCCATGCATAAGTATAGAAAGTCCAAGTCCTGGACTGGTATAAATGAGAATAGCCCCCCTGACTGCCACGGGGCTCTAGCAGTTTACCACTGGTAAGAATCCGACCCAAAAGGTCCAAACATCGTCCTTACCAAGATACTGAGGTTCGTCGCCCTCCTCGCTGAGCTCATATTCCACACGGAATCCTGATACAGTGTCAGAAGCGGAAACCCAGGAGACTACAAAACTACTGGCTGTGATTTCTGTGACTGATTCAGAGGTAGCAACCATAGGAGTAAGTGGAGTTGTCTCTCCAACAACTGTGTTGCCTAAAGAGGAAAGAGATGGGGAATGGAAATAAATGTTATCTGAAAGATCAAATACCAATCCAGGAGAAATGAAGGGCAAGATTCTCAGCTGGGATCATTCAGTTCAGCCCCACTGACTTATTTTAGTTAGGATCTGGCCCAATTCTTTTCAAGCAGGGAAGTCCACCATGAGGCGCATAAAAATTCACTTTAAAATAACATCCTGATAGGATGCAGCTCATTTGTAATACGAACAAATAATTCAGCGAACTACCTTGCAAAGAAGTGAAATATGGAAAAGTCCTGGGCTGGAATTCTACGCCCTGGTTTTACTTACTGATCACAGCTGTAGTAAAATCAAAGCGGGTGAGTTCTCTGAGTCCATACTGTTGCACACTGACAAGCTGTCCTTCATATATTACACCAGGTTTCAGGCCTGAGATGGTGTAGGAGTTCAAGTGACCAGGGATGGTGGCTTCCTTCCAATGTACTCTGGAGTTTTTCTAAAAGAACAAAGCCATACACTGTCATGGAAGAGAGCTCAAAGACCAAAAGTAGAGAGATCTAGCTAGCTAAGCTTCTATGTGATTTTCCACCACTGTGACGTCTGAACAGGACTAATATCCAGATAAACAGCCCCTCATGGGGAAGCGCAGGCAGGGAGCTATCTATAAACAGGTTGGTTAATTTACAATGGGGTACTGGATAACGATACAGTTGAACTTTATTTAATATTAGAGGTATCCAGAGAGGTCTTAGGCAATACACACATTGTAACCATTCTTCAAAAACAAAACAAAACCTAAAATCACACATTAATTCTACAACAAGTACAAACAACTGGATTGTACATAGTTGGAAATCATGCAGAGAGCCATCATTTGAAAATCATGAACTGCAATATTTTTTTCTCCTCTTCCCTACTATTTCCTATGAGAAGTTCCCAAACAAAACCCCAGCTTAAAAAAGTTTCCCCTCCTCAACCGTGCTTAAATCCTATTACCTTAAGGCCATGATCCAAGCTCCACTAAAATCAGTAGAAAAACTCCTAGCAATGTCAGCAGGCTTTGGATCAAGACATCCTTGTTCTCTTAATAATGGGCAGTGGGTAGATATAAGCATGTTAAATAGTCATGTGAAAAGAGTGTTCTCTTGAGGACTGTGGGGCAATGCATTTGCACTAGTTAAGATGAATCATACATAATTATGAATAAGCCAGAAAGCAGCGGTTAACCAGCTGTGGCGTAGCGTTCACAGGAGAAGAGAAATGACCCGTGTTTATTTAATTTCCTGCCAGAAGTTTACATCTTCATTTCCTGCTTGTTTTTACCTCCTCACTTATGCGGTACAATCAAATCCAATTGTTGCAATTATACGTGGATAGTAAAAAACTGTGTTCCCTTCAAATAAGACATCTTTCACAAGGGCTAATTTTATTCACCCTAATTGAACCTACTACTATCCTTGCCAATAATGCAATTCATAAACACAGTGACTAGTACTGTTTGCAAAGACATCCATGATGACAGTACATGTTTATAGAACATCAGTCACCTTTAGTCCTAAATGCAAATGTCCCCTCCATTAGGGCATGGACACTGGATTAGTAACAAGACCAGCATACACTTTTTTTTAAATACCAAAAATACCTTTTTAACAATATGAGAATTTTCATGAGGAGCTACATTTCCTCGATATTTATGTGGGTTTTTGGTGGGGAAAAAACCCCAAAACAAAACAAAAAAGGAAAGGAGAGGGGATGTCTATAACACCTCAGCACCATGGTGAGAGTTGCATATGAGCCCAGCACCACATAGCTGGCTTTATAAATCCTATTTCAGGGGGTGATACATGCAAAATGGCCATAGTGTGTCTCACTACAGTGTTATATGGTGGTAATGAGGCAGACAGACATGCTCAAAATCTTTTGGTGTTTGGCATGGAAAAGACCTGCATGGGAGATGCTATAGATTTTGGTCAACAATCTGCTACAGCCCAGTGACATGTCAAACTAGCATGGTTAAGGCACACCGATTTCTTTAGACCACAACACAAAAAGGAGCAACATGGCTAGAACCACATCCAGCCACCTTAGATACTCCAGGTAGCCACTGACAGATGGGTTAAACTAGGATAGCGTTTGGCAAAAGTCCAGACAAAAGCTCAGACCTATACCTCTGTAGCTGTAGTGAGATGCTTTAACTGCTCTGCTCCTATGCAACCAGAAGTACTTACCGGTTTCCAGCGGAGAATGTACTTAGAAATGTGAGACGATTCGGGTGCATTCCACTGGATGGGATGGGAGTTGGGATGATTGGGACTCTCTGTGATGATCACCTGGACTGGACCAGTTGAACCTAAAATAAAAGTTTTCCATTTTAACTTAATGAGGGAATTTCCTCTTTGTTTGCTGTTCAGTCAGTGCATCTTTAAAATACTGGTGTCATTTGTCTAAGATTGTTGTATAAATATGAAATAAGTATATTTTCCTTCTATCCCCTAGGATCCAACATTCTTTATAGTGATTACTGTGGAGCACCCTAGTGGAGGCAGTGTTAACTTCATATTAATGAAAGAATATCACAGCATGCCTTTTCCTATGTCTCTGAATCAACTTATTTAACAAGCTGGATTTTAACCAACAGAAGAATAAGCATGGCTTGCGCACACAGACCCACAAATAAAAAGAAAAAACCAGGAGCTTTAGCTGTAGCCTGTCCAAAAGGAGACTTGTAGACTCAGAGGGCCTCATTCATTTCACGTGCTTTAGTGCTTTGCTAAATTGAAACCAAAAAACACTGACAATCTAATTCAATCCCAATTAGAGGTAGGTGAAAAGATTCCTATGACCACAGAAGTCATTAGACCAGGCCCATAATTCACAGCTCCTTTAGGCTTATTCATGATCCTCTGTTCTGTTCTTCATCACTTGCCTAGAAATGTGCTATGAAAGTCTTTCAGCTAAATGCCAAGAAGATCTCACTTCGAACATGCATAAGGCATTAA